GTAGCATATTTCTAGTCGAAATACTCTAGTGATTGCCGCAATGGTTTGCCAGGCCGTGGGAGGGATGCTACAAAGGGTGAAAATCAGAAAAAACTCATAAATTTTTCAAAAGACGATGTTAAGTTTTCTAACTAGCAGAAATCGATTGTTCTGGTCGAGATACATCTCAGGTGCCTACCAAAATATTTTGCCATGCTGAAAAAAAATTCATAAGTTCTTTAAATGACGATCGCCTTGGTCGAAATATACCTAGAGGACCTACTGAAATATTTTGCCAGGCCGTAGGAGGGATGCTTCAATAAGGGGTAAAATTCATGAAAAAATCCATAACTTATTCGAATGACGATGTTGAGGTTTCTAACTAGCAGAAATCGATAGTCCTGGTCGAATTACACCTTGAGTTCTCAAGTACCTATAAAATATTTTGTCAGGCCGTAGGAGGGATGCTGCATGAGGTGAGAATCAGAAAAAAATCATATACAGTGTGACCCATCTGAAAGCGGGTCACCCCTGTATCTCACGTAATCGTTGGGTAAGGATCATGAAATTTGCTGGAGCGAGAGATATACCAAAAATGCACTCTATGACCAAGTGGGGTCATCTTCAGTGATATACACTGCTCGCCAACAGCCATGGAACCACCCCAATTTCCGGAAAATTATATTAGGAGTCAAAATAGGTTGAAAATCACTTCGGATTCGGAATCAGGACGCCCAGTTCACTAACTCTTCAGATTTTTCCTTGAAAATTTTCAGTTCTGAAAAATTAAATTCTGTCGCACTTTTCACGGAAGCACCCCCGTATCTCACGTACTTGACTTTATCTTTGGACTTTCCGTTCCTCCTGCAAATTTTAGAACCCTACCTCAATAATTACGTGAGATACGGATGCTTCCATGAAAAGTGCGACAAAACTTAATGTTTCAGAACTGAAAATTTTCAAGGAGAAATATGAATATTTAGTGAATTGGGCGTCCTGATTCCGAATCCGAAGTGATTTTCAACCTATTTTGACTCCTAATATCATTTTCAGGAAATTGGGGTGGTTCCATGGCTGTTGGCGAGCAGTGTATATCACTGAAGATGACCCCACTTGGTTATAGAGTGCATTTTTGGTATATATCTCGCTCCAGCAAATTTCATGATCCTTACTCAACGATTACGTGAGATACAGGGGTGGCCCGCTTTCAAATGGGTCACTCTGTATGTATAACTTCCTTATTTGACGATATTAGGTTTTTAACTAACATAAATCGATTGTCCTGGTCAGGATACACCTTGAGTACCTACTGAAATATTTTGCCAGGCCGTAGGAGGGATGTTACAAGGGAGTGAAAATCAGAAAAAAATCATAACTTCTTTAAATGACGATATTAAGGTTCCTAACTAGCAGAAATCGATTGCCCTGGGCGAAATACACCTCTAATATCTACCAAACTATTTGGTCGGGCCGTATGAGGGATGCTACAGGGAGTGAATTCCAGAGAAAAATCGAATTCCACAGTCCGAAGTCCACCATACGACACCATATCTTTACTCTTACATGTGGAAATCAGGTCAGGTCCATCGCAAAAGCTGCTTCAAAAGAGTCGGAATTTTATTCCGTGCGAAATACTATTGTACAGGCTGTCCCATTTTCGTTGTCCTTACGGGATATCTCACTTACTTTCAAAGATAGAGATTTGAAGTTTTCGCAAACATTGGCTACTTCTTGTGAAATTCACGATACCGCTAAAAAAATTGCATAAGTCGCTTGGTTTTTGAGATGTAGGGCGAAATTGAAAATGTTGCATTTCGGGACCCCCCTGTATCTCAGTTATCTTTCAACTCCTCGAGGAAGTAAGGACTACCATATATTCGTTCACGTTGAATCCAGTGGCGTAGTCAGATTTTTAGAAATAAGTTACAATTATGCAGATAAAACCCGAAGTTATGTTTTTTAAATGGAACACCCTGTATATTTGTTCATATTTGGAACGATGAGGCTTTGCGCTTTCTGAAATTTGTAACACTCATATTATATTTTGAGTATAAGCCATGAAATCGCATGAAATTAGACAGTTTCCAGTTTTTCAGCGGATTTTTCGTCGATGGACCTTGTAAATAGTATGTGGCAACATGGTGCATATCATATAAGAGTGATCAGAATGCTTAATCTTGAACCATCCTGTATTTGTTCCAATTAAATGTCAGTAGATAGTAAATCAAAAGTTGGGATAGGGACATGAAAGCCGTTTTGACCAATAATGAATAGTTTCGACGCAAAAAAAATCCTAAAGTTGAAAAATCTCGATTTTGAACACCCTATATCTCTGTAATCATTCTCGCTAGACCGAGCGCTAGACCGCAAGTGTGATGCATTGATGAAATCAGCTCACAAAGGAGAATGCGAAAATGCAATGAAATACAGGGTGCCCCATAAGAAAAAGTATAACTTTGATACGCCACGCATTTCGAAATCACCCTGTATGGAGCGAAATAATTTGGAAATGTGCTGCTCATGATCCTAGATCATCTCTGGAACTTTTGTCTATCTATCTTAAACTGTAAAGCCCTCGGTAAAGCCGTTATCTCACTTTGCCACACTAATGACTCACCCTGTATACAAGGCCCATCGATGAAATATCGACTGAAAAACTACCGCAAATCTATCTATAAAAATAAGTGAGATATTCTGTAAGGATCAGGATTCTGAATTTTTCACCACCCTGTATTCGTTTCAATTAAATGTCAGTAGATAATACATCGAAAGTAAAGATAGGGACATAAAAACCGTTTTGGCTAAATGTTGCCCATGAGTATTTTTCGAGGTATTTTTTGAGATGTTCAATTGTTTTTCTGTTGGCATATATGAAATTTACAGGAAAAAATATAAAAAAACGTTCCTTGAAACAAAAATTGAATTATTGAACAATACATAAAGAAGTTAAGTGGGGGTTCAAAATATACCTACTTGAAGACCCTGTACCTACCTGTAACTGACTTTGAAGACGCGTCCGCGAACAACAGTCAAAAAAGTCGTAACTATCCAAACCACATTTTCAGAAAATAATTCTCCTATATTCAAGGAAAAATTCATCTGTTTTTATTATTGCCATATTTTTGTTGCACCTTGTACAAGGGCGCGCCAACTATGTGGCAAAATCCAAGGGCGGCAATTCGGCTAAATAAACCGTATTTATTATTGAGACCGCTTCTTTCTCTTTGTAATGCCGCGCGTCGGCTCCAATTAATTCAAGACTCTCGTTCGGTACTCTTTTGATATTAGCGATAGCGGCTAGCGAAGTCCGAGTAATATCACAGGTGGCTTAGCGGTATCGGTAAGTATCAAAAACAAAGGGAATAAGTACCCAAGGGAGTATATTCACAGTTTATTGCATTTTTATTCGGGAAAGGTTTGCTCGTTCTGCCCTCGTTTATACCTATACAGAATGAAATTTAAATAAATAACTACCTATATTCTATATGATTTTTTTCAATGAACAAAATTTAAACAACCACTTAATTATTATCCATGCCCATGACAGGGTTGAATGCTTCATTATTAATTTATATATTATTTTGTTCGTTTATTCTGCTCCTGGGGAATGGACCAAATCGAAAAAAAAAATGCAAAATTTCCACCCTGTAGTCCCTGTACGATTGGTAGATTTATACATTTATACAAGAGAAAATGAAAAAAAAAGAGCCAGAGATAAGTGCTCATTCTTGGCCGTTTGCACCCTGTCACCTTATTGTCACCTTTCAGAGGTAGGTATTTGATGCATTCCTATTTAATAGGTAATACCTAGGTACTCAACTGACCAAGTCAAAAACATCCCGATAGCAGGTTCGGAGGAAAGACAACTTCTAAAATGGGCCAAGGGGCAGTTTTTAGAGTGGCCGGTTTTTATTCAGAAGATAGGGTAGTGCTCGGGGCAGTATATATAGGTATAGGTAAAATAGGTACTTCTTTCTGAACTCACCTGGAGATATCAGAGGATGCAACTGTTTTATCAGAAAATTTGCATGGGGATAACCATCTTCCACTTCAGCATTACAATTGCCACAATTGGTACACTTTACATATTTATAACGATATTTCGGTTTCCTAGATCGGGTGGTGATCACGGTAATTGCGCGAATTCTCGTTTTTATTTGTCGAATCCGATTCCGTTTACGCATTATGCCGCCTTATTAGAATAATTGCCTATCACTAATATTTATACTCCTTTACTCCTATAATCCAAATCACCTTTCCCAGTTCAGTTCAAAAAAACAAACTCGATCTGAACGGAGACTATAGATATTATAAGAAAACTATCAATTTCACATAAACAATGGCGATTGAGTGAATGACAACTTAACGAACCGAACGACCGACGACCAAAAACGGGAAGACGCAACGACGACGTTCGGCGTCATACATGTCTTAACCACGTGACTTAATTACACTGCGCCGTAGCGCTGTGCGCTGATACGAAGAACGTGGATTGAGTAGGTATTTGTATTTGATTTGATTAAATTAGATCCTTTGTTTAGGCACATTAGTTCACAATTATTATATGGTATATAGGCACTTTTTGGGTAGATCGTTCACTTTCACTGTCTTATGTAGAGTTTATGAATAATCCTGCTGCATATTTTATCTTTGGAAGTAAATATGAACATTACATTATAAGTAATGTAATAAAAATATATATTTGTACTCACATTTATTTATTAATTAGATAGGGTCGGGTAAGAAACACTTAGATTTATTATCAATACTATCCGGTCATTCCGGTCCGTCCGACGTCCACCGCGTCCACATTAATTTCTTAAAATCTGATTGGTTTTATAAAAGGTGGATTATAGTAGTGAAACCTAAAATTTGGTTAATTATCTATTGTTACGGAGGTGTTCCACCGAGGTGGTCTGACAACGTGACAACACTGTTTAAATGTTCCTATGACAATATGACATATAACAATTCTACAAGTGACAATGACATTTTTGTGGTGTGTTCTGACAATTCTGAATTCTGAATGTGATGTGACATTTCTTTTCTAGCCTAGAAGTGAGTTGACATTCATTGAATATCTATAAAATTATACTATAAATACAAATATGGCAGAAAAAACTGCGAAAGAAAAAACAATAGCGACTCACTATGCTGAATTGAATCGGCTCAGTCAAAACGGTGAATACGAAAGGGCCCTGAAGGCTGCAAACAAGAGTAAGAACTAGTATATCCTAAAACATATGGTAGTGGATGGCTGATGTGTTGTTTTACAGTTCTAGGAGTGTCCCCACATGAATTTGATGCTTTCCATTGTAAAATAGTCTGCCTCATACATTTGTCCAAGTTTGATGAGGCAATTTCCCTTATGAACAAGAATCCCCAATATCTACAGTATGTATACTTGAAGTGGTATTGAGTTATGATATGCTTTTATTATGGGTTACAGGGGCTTGATATTTGAGAAATCCTATTGTTATTATCGTGTGAATAAACCAGGAGATGCATTACAAGTTATTGAAGCTAGTGAGCAAGAATTAGATTTTCGTGTCAAGGAGCTGAAAGCCCAAATCCTATATAGAGTTGAAGACTTTGAATCATCTGTTGCTATATATCATGATGTCATCAAGAATATTCATAATGATGATTATGAGGATGAGCGGTATACTAACCTAAGTGCTGCTATGGTTTATCTACAAAATCAGCAAACAGTATGTGAGAACATGTTAGGTTGGGGTAGGTGTTATAAAATTGTAAGATATTTTTAGGATAATGTTATTGAGGAATTCAGGGAAAACACTTATGAGCTTTGTTATAATAAAGCCTGTATGTTGATTGCCAATGAAAACTATGTAGAAGCTGAGAAAAAGCTCAGACAATGTGAGAAACTTTGTAGAGAAGTTCTAGAGGAAGATGAGGCAACTGATGAAGAGATTGATATTGAGTTGGCTCTAATACGGTATGGTATACAATTCATTCGAAATCTCATATACATAAACATTATATTTCAGTATACAACTTGGTTTTGTCTACCAAAAACTAGGCAGACTCAAAGAATGCCAACAACTGTATACTAGCAATTTAAAATTGAAATTAGATGACATTGCTTTGATGGCTGTAGCAAGCAATAACATTGTGTGCATCAACAAAGATCAGAACCTGTTTGATTCCAAGAAGAAGATGAAAATTGCTATGAATGACCAACTAACTTTCAAGCTACCATCTAAACAGAGAAAATTCATTGCTCTAAATAATGCTATTTTTAACTACTATATAAATCAATCTGATCAGTGTGAGAAGGCTTGTAAGATCATTGATTCTAATTGGCCTGAGATGCATTTGCAAACTGTTATTTTGAGAGCATTGAATTTGATAAAATCAGAGAAGGTCAAAGATGCTATTGAGTTGCTCAGGTCAGCCAAAACAAAAGATGACAATTTGTACATAAATTTGTGCATTGCTCAAATTCATTTGATTCAGGTGAGTGATAATTGTGCCAATTTGCTATTTCTTCATATTTTTGTCCATAATCAACAAAATAACCTGGGCCTTCAATATTGACCTTAACCATCATTATTTCCTCTAACTGCCAATTTTTTGGGACACCTTGTAATTTGTATAATGGTTTATTTAGTATTAGTAAATTTTAAGGGAAAATATATAGAAATGATCTTAACACTAACATTCATTTTATCAAAAAATACTTTGGCATTCACAGTTCATTCAAGTTATGATGACTTAATTTGATCAAACTACTATTCAGCACAGATATTTTTCTGTTGATTAGATGGTGACACTTTTATTAGGTGGTTTTCACTTCTTCAACCTGATTTAAAACCTGAAGAACAATAATGTTGTATTCATGTAGTTGAATTAGTCCTACCAAAAATAGCCTGTGATAATTGCTTGATTTCAGTTATGGATTTCCTAATATAATGACCTTACATTTACTAATTCTCAAATTAGGATGGTTAATTCATGCACTCACATCAGCAGTAATCACTATCATCTTTCACTAAGCCAAACATGACATTATGATGATTTGCAGCAAAATGTATTCATTTAAATTAGGTTTTCAGACCAATTTTGAATGAAGAAAGCAATATTTTATTTTTTATTTCTTATTTTTTACTCAAGGGAGATAGACTTGAAGCATGCAAAGTCCTAGAGAATCTTGGTGAAGACAGCTTCAAACCTGGTATTGTGGGAGCACTTACAACCCTTTACCTTGGCATTGGCCAGGAAGAAACTGCATTGAAAGTGTTTGAGAACACTGTTGAGTTTTATAAGAAAAACAAAGTAACTCTCATTATTTCTTTATTTTCTCTCCCAGTTCAGTTTAAATTGTTTTAAAGGTGAAAGGTGTTGACTTGTCTAGTCTTTGGAGACAAGCTGCAGAATTCCATATTAGAAAAGGACTTCCACAAGTTGCTGCAAATAGTTTAGAGGAACTCTTGAAAACTAATGAAGATGATAAGAAACTAGTAGCCCAATTAGTTGTAGCCTATGCACAAGTAGGTACAATTGATATTGAATGAAATACATATTTTCTTTCATAACATGATCATTATTATGGTAGTAACTTTCAATATATCACTCAAATGACAATGACTGATCTTGGTTTCTAAGTGTCCAAGTAGTTTGATGAAGTTTGGACCTCGGTTTGGACCTAATGTTTCTCTTTTTAGTTTGATGAGCCTAGAGCCCTAAAGCTCAGCAATGAATTGATATCTGTTGAAGAGTTAGCAAAAGATGTTGATATGGAGGATATTGAAGCATCTGCAACAGCAGTAAACTTCAAGAAAAGCCCAGCCATTAAACAAGAATCACTGCCAAGGTATTTCCCTAAAAGATAATGCTAAAATCACAAGTAATAGGTTTCTTGAAATATTTTGAAATTTAATCTCTTAAATCCTCACTTCCTCGCCCAAATTCCTGGATACCAGTGGAAAAAATACAAAAAAAATTAAGGTAATTATTTGAACAAAAAGAAAATTTTTGTTTTCAATTAGGATCAAAATATGTCTGGCTGATGGGACCATGTCCACAAAGCCATAGAACAAAATTTGGATCAAGTAATTGATATGATGCTTTCCTTCATAACTTTTTCAATTTTAAGAGTTTTCCTTCATTTACCTATCTAAACGTGGAATATATAAGTCAGCTCTGTTACATCACAGCCTACTATTTCTTTCATACATCATAGGAGTCAAATAGTTCTGAATCTTCATATTCCAGTGTCCAGGCTATAGTAGATTTGTTTTTTATTTCCTAGTACACCTAGAGACGATTCAGCTAAAAGAACCAAAAAGCATAAGAAACACAAAGGTAAATTGCCTAAAAACTGTGACCTCAGCATTCCCCCAGACCCAGAAAGATGGCTGCCTAAGTATGAAAGGTCTGGCTATCGTAGAAAAAGAGACCGTAGGACTAAAGAAGTCATCAAAGGTTCTCAGGGTACTGCATCAGGACAAGCAGAACAGTAGTGAGTTTCAGAAGATTTTTTAATACAGTTTCTACCACTTAGCATTAAGGATTTCTTCATGATCAGACTTCTGATTAGAATGGAACAATCAAACTTTTACATATTATGCTACTACTCATTGGACTCACCAGGCCATGCTTTCCAACTATGTTGATGGTAATGCCATATTGTTTTAATTTTCTGAAATTTTGGAAAAATTTTCCAAAACTATGGTGCTAAAACTTTTTCTTTTCAAAATTACTCAATCACAAAATTGTTCTGAATCATTTTTATTGTTTTCCAAATATATCAGAAAATGGAAACAGTTTGGTAGCTCCCTCAAAGTGCAATGAATCTTCATAAAATGGCAACTTTTCTTGCATTTTAATGGATCTCATAGTACTACCATTGTGAAGATTGCAATCTATACGTTTATATTCACATCATTGGAGTTCCTTTTGCCCATCAACAAAATATTTGGTTGTGATAATTTACAGTTTTTGAAAGATTGAAAGTGGCTGAAAAAATTGCAATAACCCAATAAAGAGTAATACTGAAAAACATGAAAACATGAAAAGTTGATTATTCATGCATGAAAGATGTCAATGATGATTGTTGTTATAATTAGGTTTTCAACTGCATTTCATGTGCAAATGAAATAATGACTTTTGATTCACTGCAGTGATTTAATATTAATATTTCATGTGATAAAGGAATTTTCTTTTCAGTGATTTCTCCAAGTTTGTCGATGATTCTTCCGATACAACTGGGTCTACAGTGGAACCTTCACCAAGAGGTAAACCACCTCAGCACCAGCAGAAGAAAAATGTACAAAAAAGAAAGAACAAACGCCGTTGATCTTTTTCAGATAGTTTTTCTACTTGCTTGTGAATTGTTAATGTTATGTCACAGATTATAAGGTTTGTTAATCTGTGGTTATGTACCTGCATGTGAGTAGGATGTTTTTGAATTGACATTTCTAGTTTGGTGATTTTTATATCCACACATTTATATTCAAAAATAAAGGTTTGTGACTGTTCTTGATGTTCATTTTTCCTGTGTATTATTCCAATTTGAAACCATTGTTTTCAAATACAGGGTGTCCGAAAAGCCAAAATGTCAGTACTTCATATAAAAAAAAGTCTACCACACTTCATTATGGAGTTATTGACCTTGAAAGTTTGAATAAAAAATTATATTTTATGTATAATATTTTTATAATTCACAGTACACTGTACTGAATTCGGAGAAAATCCAGAGATAACACTCCCTCTAACCATAGATTTTCTAACCCAAAAGCACTCAACATCGAGACAATGATATCGAGACCAATGTGGTTTCGCCACCTATGAGCCTTCGTCAAAACTAACGCCTTGGCAAGTTAACGTTCATAGAGTCACTGTAGGTGTATCAAGGCCGCTTTTGTCTTTAACGATTTGGAGACACCTGTCGGTTGGATACCAAATTTCTTCCAGTAACTCGTCTAGATGAACATTGAAAATAAATACCTTCTTCGGCTGGTATTATATTTATCATATATACTACTTTATAATCTAGTTTTTTTCTTTTCATCAAATTCAGCACCATGAAAAATCACCCGGATAAACTTAAATACAATATTGGTGATGGCACATATTGATGTATTGACGAACATAGGGTATAATCAATTCTATTTTCCACCTCTCACAAGCAAACAGAGAGGGTATTAAAGGTAATACTCGTCTATGAGATACTAAGGATTCGTCTTTGGCATGTAGATGGCGGCATATCGGTCTGGTTGAAAAATCTATCCCTTTTTATTAAAATTATTTTGAAAGCTTTTATCGTTGATTGATATATTACGCTTACGCCCAGCGTAAGCGTAATATATCAATTCCAAGAAGTCCGGAAATATCTGGAAAAGATACGCATTTTTGCATTGGCATTTTTTCTCTACTATGTACGATGGTGCTTTCAGAATAGCTAACTGACGTTTCGTCTCCCGGCCACCCCATCATCAACTTTATTTTTCAAATGGGCGCCATATATTGGGTTTTTGTGTGTTTTGAATATCGCACTTGTTATTAATTCTATTTTCAATGGTGTATCCCAAGTTATTGCCATTCTTTCTGGATAAATCGAAGATATTATAAAAAACAAATTAAGCTATAAGTATATGAATTTGATGTTTCACTTTCTATCTGTCACACTTGATGGCTTCCGGTTATTTTGTATGTCAGTGATGTATTTTCGGCAGGAAGCATTTTCCAAGGCATTTTCGGACCTATATCATGTTCATATGAACTTGTTTTCATATTTATGTAGTTGAGTGGAATCTCCTCTATGAATTTGACACCACAATTCTGGAACACCCTGTACCTATATCAACTCACCTTATTGACTTCCTCTACCCGTCATTATAGGTTTATGGCTAGTCCTGACTCTCCTCCTGTAGATGAGATTCCTTGTTGACACTGTTGTCAATAAAATATGCCAAATATTGAAATTCCACAATATTATCAAGCAGTGCCAAAATCGCATTTTCCAACTCGTTAATTATGTAATTTATTACTGTGTTTCAGATTTCAATCGGTGAAAGGTGAAGAGGTATACTTCAAAAATGAATAACATAGGTTGAATTATTTTATATGTTCTGAAGCTCTGTTTATGAGATACGTGATGTTGACGTTATGAATATTATTTGCCTTTTTCAATCATCACCCAGTGTAATCTCATATGTTTGGTCTCCAAATTATATACTCATTTATGTATATCGAGTTATCTCAATGGATGATATCTTGAACGATCCCACAAGAGAATTTGGATTGAAACTATAGCATATACAAAGTGTTCCTTATTGTATGTCGGTACTCTCCAAGAAAATTACTTGAAAAATCCATTTTTGCTCTGCTAATTCCCTGGCCAAATTACATCTACGAAGATAACAGCAAACATTTTTTATTCAAAATGATTATTTAAATATTCCGGTGTTGCGTCAAAACCTATAGTCGAAATATCTCGAAATCGGCTTTTTTTAGGGGATTTTTACATGAGTAGATATCTTTTTCTCCTAAGAATGTTCAGAAAATTACCTCGTCAACAAATAAAGTAAGAAACTACACTGATAAAACAAGTATGGCCATTCTAAACCATCTAAATCAATGAGAAGGTGTCCGTATTCGTGTTTTGCATCCCAAAAACACCTTGGAAATCAATTTTTGAAGTACTTAATACGTTCAAAACTGTTCATAAATTTTGAGAAAATCGATTTTTATTCTTCAACTTTAGCACCCTGTACCTATCTCGAATACGGAAAATTTCGTACTGAGGTACTGTAACAGTCCATTTTGACAGTCACAACAAAATCATTTATAAATAGGCAAATGCTAACTAATAACATTGATCACCCTGTATTTGAAAATATCATCCGTCAGAACGACGAACCGAGCGAAGGAACAAACAATAAAATAACCACTTTTTGTGCGAACTGAAAAAGCGACGCATAGCGATCGAATTCTTTCATCGCGCAAACGGAAACATTTTACGAGAAGTGAATGAACGTGCGAAATGGTTTCACGAAATTCTGATTTTTATTCAGCCAAGTTTTGGGATTATTGATTGTGAAACAAAAAACCAAATCAATTTTTATTGTGTGGTCTACTCAAGTGGAGTTTTGTTGATGCCTTTGGTGGAAATTGATGCCTGTTGCAGGGATTCCGGTTCGCCATCCTTTCATCACTTCTTCTTTTTGTAAGTACGCCTACTCAGCTAGTTTTGTTCCAAATAAGGAATTGATGGATTATTCATTACAGATTGCCCCAGACGATCAGGACTAATCGACTTCATCATCTTTGATATTTGGGCTGCGTCTGTGTCAGCGACAATCCCTCCAGTGAGGTAATGACAGTTCTTTTTTCTTATCGTTGCATTTGTGTATCGATGCCGACACCAATGAGTATAATTATAGGAAGATAGAGAGTGTGAGTAATTTGCGGACTGGAATAAAATGATGCGGACTGGCTATCTCCAGCAGACAAATCGTTGTTTTTATTGCATATCTGGATTCAGCTCATCGAACTACACGATGAAAAGTTGCTGATTTTTCTCACTGACCCCTCTGGGGAGCACTTTACTCGTGTGTTTTTTCATGAAATTTTGCGGACTGGGTATTTTTGCAAGTCAAATCAGCTCAATTTTACTAAAAATCAATTTATCTCATAAAAATACACGACGATAAGTTTTTGAAATTTTTCCCTAGCCCCCCTGGGGAGCACTTTACTCGTGTGTATTTTCATAAGATCTTGCGGACTGGGTATTTTTACCAGTCAAATCATCTCAATTTTCTCAAAAATCGATTTTCCACGAAAATACACGTTGAAAAGTTTTTTATATTATTCCCTAGCCCCCCTGGGAAGCACTTTACTCGTGTGTTTTTTCATAAAATCTTGCGGACTGGGTATTTTTGCAACTTGAATCAACTGAATTTTATCAAAAATGAATTTATCACATAAAAATACACGATGATAAGTTCTTGGAAGTTTTCCATAAAATCTTGCGGACTGGGTATTTTTGCATGTCCGCAAGATTTTATGAAAAAACACACGACTAAAGTGCTCCCCATCAGGGGGCTAGGGAAAAATTTCGAAAACTTTTCATCGTGTATTTTCAAGAGATGAATCGATTAATGGTAATATTGAGTTGATTTGACTTGCAAAAATACCCAGTACGCAAGATTTTATGGAAAAACACACGAGTCAAGTGCTCCCCAGGGGGTCCAGAAAAAATTTCAAGAACTTATCATCATGTATTTTCGTGAGATAAATCGATTTTTCATAAAATTGAGTTGATTTGACTTGCAAAATTTCCAGTCCGCAAGATTTTAAGGAAAAACACCCGAGTAAAGTGCTCCTCAGGGGGCTAAGAAAAATTTCAAGAACTCATCATCATGTATTTTCATGAGATAAATCGATTTTTAAAAAAATTGAAATGATTGGACTTGTGAAAATACCTCGGAAAATACCCAGTTCGCCAGATTTTATGGAAAAACACACGAGTCATATATACTCCCCAGGGGGGCTAGGGAAAAATTTGAAAAACTTCTGATCGTCGTATATTTTCATGAGATGAATCGATTTTTGATGAAATTGAGTTGACTTGACTTGCGAAAATACCCAGTCCGCAAGATTTTATGAAAAAACTCACGAGTAAAGTGCTCCCCAGAGGGACTGGGGAAATTTTCGAAAACTTTTTATCGTGTAGTTCGATGAGCTGAATCCAGATATGCAATAAAAACAACGATTTGTTTGCTGGAGATAGCCAGTCCGCAGCATTTTTTTCCAGTCCGCAAATTATTCACACCCGGAGGTTGACACGTTCTTTTTTAAATTTATTTTAGGGTCCTATTCCTAGGTCCGAGTGCCTAGGTCCGATTGCCTAGTTCCTAGTGTAGGGTTTATACGAAAATATTACCTACCTGTATTGTGTGAGGTTTTGGTCGAGCCAATCTTTATAAATATCTGCCGGCCCCTTACGTAAAACTTGGGGAACGCTGGATGTGTGAGACTTTTGGATAGTGGGAGAGCTGAAGAACTTCCACCTAATAGCCAGATAAGCTGCATGTTTTTTCTTTCTGTTTGTTATGTCATATTGCGGAACATTGTTTGGATAGGTTCATATCAGTATGCGAAATGACTGATCTCCAAAACGTACCTACTTATAGAGCATTTCTATGATTATAAGTATATTTGTATTTCTACAATCTTTATTAGGGCTATCAATCACAGAGCCGATTTTTGCGTAGCGTATATTTTCTGCTGGGGGCTCAGAAATAACAATTGTCTTTTTTTTTGTATCACCACGCGCCTGTGAACTCTATACGTGTTCACGTACGGTATATGCGCTCTACAAAATTCATATTAGGTATACCAGGTAAAAATCTACAAAATCTATAGATTTCCCAATTTCTACACGTCTAGTCCCTAGGGATCATAACGTTTTGCAGGAAATGATTCATGAAGAAATCGCGAACTAAATCACTCATGATAGTTGAATTATTAAACCTTTTTT